TACCCCAAAATTTGCCCTCCCATATTCTTCAAGGTTTTCCAAGATCAAGCTTCAAAATCTCTCAAGGATTGCACAGTCCAATTGCCTCCTAACACAGTCAAAATTAGGGTTTTGGTTCTTGAAAAGAAATTGAGGTTTCCAAGGGTCCAATCAAGTCCCACATGCCTACATACATTATCAAGCATTCATATGTCAAGTTTCAAGACTCACAACATCAAATTGCACAGTCAAAAACCCTAATTGCTCCACAGTCAACTGCAAGGGCAAAATGGTCATTTGACAGTCAAAAGTCAAAATTTTTGGTCAACATCTTATTTTGAAGCCACAAACATCATTTGATCAATTCTTGATCATGATTTCTCAAAGCATGGCTCAAAAAGTCTCAAGATGCAAAAGTTTCTATTTTTGGACAGTTGAAAAGTCAACTGCAAATTGACCAGGGCATAACTTCCTCATGGTTTATTAGAAAAATTCCATCCAAAGCTCATTTTGAAGAGAATGACACTTCCTACAACTCATCTTCACACTTCAAGTCCAAGAAATGCTCTCACAAAAAGTTATCAATTTCAACATTATAGGTCATTTTCAAAAGTCAACAAAAAGGCACTTTAAGTCAAAGACCATAACTTGAGATTGGTAAATCAAAATGACATGGGACCAAAGAGATTGATTAGAGGACTTCAAGACCTTTCCAAAATGTCCAAGAACATAATCATAGCTTCAAAATTGAGCAAGATATGCATTGGAGAAGTTGGGAAAGTTTTGGGAACTTTGAAAAGTCAACTTTGCTTCAAAAGCTTCAAAAATGCTAATGGGCCTCAAATTCTTCCTTGAATCATTACCCAAAGCATATGCACGACCCATCAAGCTCAAAGGGATTTATTTTCTTATTTTTAATTAATTAATTGAATTTTTATTCTTATTAATTCATTTAATTAGATTTAAATATGAGAAAAATATCAAATAATGGTTTTAAATCTTTTTTGTGCAGCAAATATGTTCATTATATACAAGAGATTTCGTGCATCATCTCAAGGGGACAAGATCATCCATATTTGGCAAGATTTGCATGGAAAAAAGATTGAAAAAGATGTGATAAAAATCAAATATTCAAAACATAAATTCATGGATCTTTGGGCTTGTTTCTTGACCTAATTTCATTCACTTACTTATGCACAACTCAACCCTATTCTAAAGGACACGAAAAGCTGCTCAAAAACATAGAACAAAGTTGCCAAAATTCCAAAGAAATTGTGAAACTGATTTCATAGTTAGAGCACGTTTCAAAGCATAAAAAACATTCTAATACATTCCTGACATTGCTAGGAGTCGATTGCAATCAAGAACAAGTCCCCATAATCCCAGAATCGGTAGAACAAAATCACCCTTTTCATGAATATGTCCATAATCGATTTTTGATTTCCATGCATTATTCATATGTTTTAATTGTTGATTCTTGCTACTAATGATCTTCTAAAACTTTTGGCATAGTTTAATTGTTCTGAAAAATGCTTGAAACGAGATTCACCATTGATGAAACCTAAGGTTTCAGAAGCTCCAAATTAGGGGTTCCCATATATGGAAAAATTAGACCACCAAACATATATGGTTGAATTCGTTGCAAGAAACCTGACTCAACCAATACCTCGCGCTCAATTTATGTTACTTGTACGCCTATTCGCTATTATGCACTGTGCTATTTAGTGGGGGTTTAAAACCCCCGCTATTTGTTTTATAATTGCAGGGAAAACCAGGAAGAAGATGGACGTGGCTTAGGATGACTGGAACATTTGAAATCTGGCGCGTTTTTGTTTGTCCCATATCGTTAGCTTTTGTTTCTTTTATATTATTTGTGTTCCACTAACATTACAAACGCACGCGTTAGCTCAGTTGGTGGATGAGTTGTCTTGCAGGTATAGGGACCTGGGTTCGATTCCCTGGTCCCCCCACTTAATTCATAAATTTTGTTATAATGTGTTTCTATGCAGCATTCCTTCAACGCTCCACCATACATCCTCACACGTTAGCCTGCCACGCGCTCATGCTCGCCCATCCAATGGCCATAACGTGAACTCCAGGGTGTACCCCAGTCAACCACACACACTCAAGCTGGAAAAGTCAAACAGGCTTTTTATTCAATGGGCCAAAATTGCTCCAAGAACACCTCCCTTTGGGCCTGAAACCCCCTGGTTTGCAATCTTTTAATTTTATTTTCTTTTCAATTTTAATTCTTTTTAAATTGTTTTAATTTGTTTTTGATTGTTTTCTTTAATTTCATAAAATAATTTTCTATAAAAAAATCAGAAACCAAAAATTGTAATATATTTAATTATATTTAATTTCACCATTAAAATGTTTTTGTAAATAAACTCTAACCATTAATTTAGTAAATTAGGTTTTAAACTTTAATCTTTTCTTAATAAATAAAATAAATAGAATTAGGGTTTTTGACCTTTTCATCTTTTTTAATAAATAATTTTCTCTCATTATTATTATTATTAATTACTAAATATTTTTGTAAATAAACATGTAATTTAATTAATTAGTGTAAATTAGATTAACTTGAATATTTTCTTAAATAATTAAAATAATTTATAATTAGGGTTTCCATTCAATTTTAATTTTCTTTATTTTTATAAATACCAAAAACATAAAAAACATTTTCTTTTCTTCAATTAATTAATTAGCTTTTAATTCAATTTAATTTCAAAAGGGTCAAAACCCTCGGACGTCCTAACTTTTATTCTTTCGCACGTTATTCTTTTTTCTTTTCGAATATTATGTAACTGCTCAAGGCTTGTAATAGTAATTAGGTCTTTTACTTTCCGCATTTTTATTAAAACGGGTCTTTGTATTTTGGCGATGTATAGACCCGCGCCTTGTAATAGCGTAGGATTTATCTTTCCGCATTTAAATTTCCGCATTTTTAAAATTCTAAACTTTGTATGAAAGAATGTATGGCTAATTAAAAACAAGCGTAGCTCACAATGCCATGGTCCAAGATAACAATACATGAAAACAACACACAAACTCACACACCACTCTTAGGGTACGCCTCACCTGTTGCCTTCGAAACGTGGTCATCAAGTATAGGACGTTTTAGTAAGTCCTTATGTCCATGATCCAGTTGCCTCAAAACAAGTTGCCTCGAAACGGTTGCCGCAGAATAGTTGCCTCGAAACGGTTGCCTCAGATTAAAAAAGGATCAAGGACATAAGGGTAGCTTCTAAGGTGTCCTGCTATTGCTTCAGTGACCACACTGTCCCTAAACTCGAATTGACCCGAACACCTCCAACGATGGTGCTACCTATCTCTCAATGGTGGGATGGCACTACCTTAAGGACATTTACACAACCTAATTCTTTAGGGTAGGTAGATAACTCGTGGATACTTGCTCTATTAAAAAACAAATCAAAAAAACCTTTTCACACCGACACTTTCAAAAAGCTTTCAAAACAATTTTTCAAACACTCTTGAGGACTGATACAAGAGTCATTCTGAAATCTTTAAACGAAACTTTTTTCAAACCCACTCACATTTTGAAAAGCAAACACTTTGAAAACACAATGAGCAAGTATCTAAGAGCCCATGGATAACCATGGATAGAAAGGGTTCTAACACCTTCCCTTTCTATAAATCTACCTCCCGAACTGAGAAACTATGTCATAAGGAATTTTTCTGTGCTTTTGTCCTATCCATGTTGGAGAAAATAAAAGATGGTGGCGACTCTTGCTTCCGCGACATTTCGCGAACCAGCGTTAAACAGTCAGTTCTAAATCCACCGATCACACTCAGGAATACCCGATTGGTACTTCAAATAAAGATAGAAAGACATTGAGAAGATTGGTTGGCAGCTTCTTCCTCAATGAAAATGTGTTGTACAAGAGAAATTATGACATGGTCTTGCTCAGATGCATGGATAGACACGAAGAAAACATGTTGATGCATGAAATTTATGAAGGTTCATTTGGAACTAACACCAATGGACATTCGATGGCTAAAAAGATGCTAAGGGCATGTTACTATTGGCTGAAAATGGAACCTGACTATTATAAATTTGCAAAGAAGTGCCATAAATGCCAGATTTATGCGGACAAGATTCACGTGCCTCCGACACTTCTCAATGTTATTTCTTCCCCATGGCCTTTCTCTATGTGGGGTATTGACATGATTGGAATTATAGAACCCAAAGCTTCGAATGGACACCATTTTATCTTGGTAGCAATTAATTACTCACTATAAGAAAATTGGCAGATTGCGACAGGTATTTTTGTAGATTACGACGGTTAAAACCGTCACAATTTGCTTTCCACGACGGTTGCTTTACCGTCGCAGAAGTGTGTGTCCCCAACCTATTTCGCGACGGTTACAAAAACTGTCGTTCAAGTTTACGACGGGTTTGGAGCTGACATAATCAAGTATTGGTGACTGTTTGATACCGTCGTGACTATCTTTTGAGTTTCTTTTAATTATTGATGGCGACGGTTCGATACTATCGTGAATATCTTTTGAAATTGATTAAATTGTTTATGGCGACGGTTCGATACCGTCATGACTTTTGTTGATTATTTTTAATTGTTGATTACGACGGTTCGATACTGTCGCCATGACTTTTGTTTATGTCTTGATTTTTTTTATTTTTCTATTATATATATTTTTTATTTAAATTATTATCTATGTAAAAAATTTTAAATATAGTTTTTTTTTGTGTTATTTTTTTCTTTAATATATTTATTTATAGTATTATTTTTTGTTTTATTTTCTATCACTTTGTAATATAGTAAAAATAATTTCAATAAAAAATATTTAACATCAAATAAGCATTATAATATCCAAAAAAATGTGTGTTCCATAATCATGTAAAATGCGAGTTCCATAATCATGTCAAGTAGTACAAAAAACCCAAAATATATCAATTCCTAATCTTATAATAATAAGTATCATTATGCCAAAAATACATGAGAAAGTTCACAATCTAATTATCTCGATCATAGCAAAGTCTAATTTGTCCCCCCTGAAGTTCCATTATCTCCAATACGGTAGCTAGACTCAGATGAACGTCTACCATCAGCGGGTGATTCCAATCCCTAAAAAAAGGTATTAAAATAATAATCTTTAAAATAATACTCATAAAATTTAACTTTAAATGCGTCAAAATAATATACCTGTCTTCCACTAAAATTCTGCATTTGCATTAAGAGTTCAATTTCCTTTGTCCTCGCCTTGTCCCTTTGCGTTAAGAATATGATTGCCTGTGTTAATTCATCAATTTTTGAATTCTTTTCTTTAAGTGCATTAATTTCTTCTTGCATTTCCTTTATTTGTTCACTTTCTGCAGAAGAAGATGTCGATCTGGAAACGATCGACATAGATGTTGTTTGACAACTTCCGCTAAAACAAACAATATACCTTATGAATAAAACAAAAATATTTTAGGATACAAGACATGAATGACTTCGAACATAGAAAAGTTAGCTTTTTTGCAAACAAAATTACTTCAAACAACATCTACAAACAAAATGACTTCAAACATAGAGCAAACCAGTTATAGATCTACGTATTATGTGTAAAAGTAAATACAAAGGAATTGGTTTGTAACATAACATGTTTGTAACATCGAAAACATGTTGATGAAGCTCAGAACAAATGTATACGATGACTGATGAACTGGCAGTACCTGTGAATGTAACCAAATATAATGGTAGAACTCCGACGGTGAACTGAAAGTATAGGGCTTTCATCATGTTCTTGACAACTGATTATTTGATTGTCGCCTATTATTAAAAATTGGAAGTGTAATGAGTTGACATATGACATTGGATTTATTGGTACTCAGAAATGGCATAGAAATTACTATGTTGATAGTAAAATAAAAAAATCAAGCAAATATACAACTCTTATCTATAGCAAGGAACTAAAGTAGGGTAAGCTGTTGACATACATAATTAGAAAATGATTGCAAAAACCTTCATGAACAGATGATATATGAATTGGGCTTGAGGAATATAGATATTTATTGGCAACACAAACATATACAATCAAGTTTATCACTATCATCATATATAGAAGCAAAATCATGGCTTCCTCAATTCACATAACCAGATTTTAACAGCTTTACCTTTACCAACAAAGCATCCATCTTCCTTTTATCAATCCTGAGTGGACTTTTCATCTCCATCAACATCTTCTGACCCAATGCTTTAATTGATGATTCCCCTTTTTCACTTCTATGCTTTCCAACCCCACAAACCACAATAATTTCAGCAATAATCTCAAAGTTGGAAGCATTCAACAGTAATCTTCACAAACACTCCACGATTGAATGAAACCGCATGGGTAAATGCAATAATTATAAGAGGAAGTTTTTACTATTAGCCTGTTAAATGAATATAATACATGGTATATCTTGTGTATACCATAGGAGTACTCAAAGTATATTGGTCTTGATGAACTTACTTGGCACAGATCGACTAAGATGATTAAAATTACCAGTCTCCAAATTTTGAGATAAATGCAGCCTGGCCCGCATAACATATCACAAGAAGCGGATATATCAAGCAAATAAATGTAATCTACAAACAACAGACCCAAGCATGATGCACAAGTTGTTTGTTACTAATAATTTTCAATTACAATCAAATATACAAGAATTGCATATCAAGTTATATGCATTACAATACCTTGATTGATTTCTTAGAAAAATGGCCTAACCCTGCAAACATTGCCTCTGATCCTGCAACATAGCAGAAAAAGTAAACAAATTAATTTCATAACTCAACTATGTAAAAAATTTAAATTATTTATAGATACTTTAACCTTAAATTACTTACTAATGACATTTACATCCCCAAAATAAATTTTACTTTAAGAAACTTTTAGAGATGCTAATCTTCATGCCCGTAGAAATTGAGAAGTCTCTAATTTTGTTCATGATCAACTTTACAGATATTTTGAAAATTAAAATATAATAATAATAAACACATTTAAATTAAAAACACTAAAAAATATATGAAAACAAATTATCACCACATAACATTGTTAAATCAAATGACAAAATATCAACATAATTTGCAAACATGAATAAAGAAATACAAAACATAATCACTACATTTACAACTTGCAGTCCAACTTGTAACTGAAATCTTTGTTTAAAATAGTGTTTATAAAAACAGATTATATCTTGTATTAAAACACTTATAACTTGTATACATTGAATAGAAAAAACCTTAGAAAACATATTATAATGATTTACATAACTACTTATCTCACAAAATATATATAGGGTAGTTATCCATAAGACTTTGATCCACTATTCTGCAAAGATCTTCTGTAGGACTAAACTGACTAAGAATCCTGTAAAGCTGCATTGCATGATAAAAATGAAAAAAAATTAATATCACTATTTATTTTGATGCGGAAAAATTTTTAGCTGTGAAGTCAAGACCAACCAAAGCTACAAGTCCCTTTGAGTCTACAACAACATGTTTGCTGGTCTTGCCGATTGCTTCCTCTACCAAAACAATTTCATATGGAACAACCAAATATGCAAAGTAAACAAATTAAATTTTATCTATGATTCTAAAGGAGATTGACATCATTGTAAATAGAGGAAAGAATAACAAAAGTGTAGAAAGATTATACAATTTAAACTTACCAGGTAACCGCAAAAATTTCTCACACAAAAATCCTAAAATCAGAATAAGATAACAAACCCTTAAATCTCTAGCCATCGTCACATATCTTAGCAGAGTTTCGTAGGTCTAAACATAGAAGGATAAAGAGAACAAACCCTGAAATTTGTGTTTAATATCATTTCAAATTTTTTTCATAACCCAACATCTACCTTGAAAATCTCCGATTCGTAGATCTCTGTAAATCCTCACACAATTTTGTAGTCTTTATTGAAGAAAATGAAGTGAGAAGAAAGAAGAAGTAGAAGAGGGAGATGATGGTGGTACAGGTGGTGGAAGAGAGAAGAAAGAAGAATATGAAGAGAAAGATGATATTGGTACAGGCACGCAATAAAATTGTTGGATCATGGCTATCTTCTAATATATGTCTCTTTCATAAATGATCAAATTTCTCATTACTCTTTCATTCCATAAGTGAACACTAACTTCATAATATAAAATTATCCACGAAGAATACGTTAAAAACGGAACATACGTGCCACATCAAATCTTTAAGAGACATATATTGTGGTTAAAAGGCTAACGATGTGCACATAAGACTGATTTGTTACCAAAACAAACTTAGAAATTAACTTATAACAAGCATCTAAGTTAAAGGACAGCAAAATGTATTTAGCCAAACATGAAAAGCATCTAAGTTAAAGGACAGCAAAATGCGTTTAGCCAAACATGTATATGATCATAAATTACCTTAACAGTTCCAAACACATTCCATTCAAAATTACTGCCATCTTATTTAACTGTTTTTGGCAAAAGCTGGCTACTTTAACCAGAATTGATTCATGTTCCCCAACAAAAGTGATACATAGCCCAAAAACAAACTACCTACACAGTTTTAAACCCATTCCATCCAAAATTACTTTCATATACTAAAGCGTTATTTTGGCAACAGGCAAGAAGACCATAATGCTTAATCTTCCCGAACAAAAATCCATACAAAATTAAAAAGCATCAACAAAATTTTATAACAATATTACGCGAGCAACATCCAAAGTGTCAAAACAACCAAAATCTTCATTGTAACAACATTTTGCCCATTCATGGATCAACCATCACAACTCACAACCGGAAGTTTGTAATCTTCGACAGCACTACACTTGTTCATATGCAAAGTACTTCATCTTCCAACAATAAGAGGATTCTTGTTCTTGTAAATGTAATAGCTCATACACAATTTCTCTAAAGTTGCAACAGAATGCTGCATAGGATTTAGCTTTATATCCATCATCATTCTCTGCCATAATAACAACAAAACATTAAACAGCCTCCTAACAGCAACATTTTCACTTTACAATGTTAATATATCTTCAATTGAAATTAACATGACAACAGATCAAACCAGTGGCATATAGTAACATATAGAAAGCTTTTTTCCTTAATTTTATTCACAATCCGATCCACCAGTGGCATATAGTAACATATAGAAAGCTTTTTTCCTGTCACAAGTACACCAAAATGTTTAAAAGGTAGTTGCCCCTCTTGAAAAATTTTGATGCAAACAATTTCCTGCTTAGTCTCTGGTGTAATTCCTGCAGAATATAACTTACATTTCTATGGATTTACAACCATTCCAATCAATTTAGAAAACTGGCCGAAAGTGTTCATCATCATTTTCACAGAAACTTCGTCTCCTCTTGAAAACAATAAAAGATCATCGACGAAGCATAAATTAGTAATCTGCAAATTTGCACACTTGGGTGATAGTTGAAGTTGCTATCTTTCTGCATTTTGTAGAGGTGTCGATTTAAACACTCCATAACAATTAAGAAGAGTAAATGTGATAAGGGGTCACACTCTCTCAGTCCCCTCCTAGCTTCCATAATATAAATATATTGTCCATTGACATTGAATCTGTATGACACGATTGTCACAGCAGTCATGATCCATTTTGTGAATTGTCTTGGTCATTTTACCTCATTCAGTATACATTTCAGTGAATTCTAGTCTACCTTATCATACGCTTTTTGAATGTCCATCTACATCAAACATCTTAGAGTATTATTCCTCCTATCATACCCCTTAATCAGTTCATAGGTGAGGAGAATATAATTGTGTATGTTTTCCCCTTTACAAAGGCAGCTTGATTATCTCCTACAATTGTTCCCAGTACCTTACTCAATCTATTAGCCATCACTTTGAAATGATTTGTAGAGCGTAATGCAGCAAGCTATAAGTCGATATTCTTTTATTTCCTTTGCCTCATTATGCTTTGGAATCAACGCGACCACTTAATAACTCACAACCTTGTAAATTCTATTATTGGTAAAGAAATATTGGATTGCTTCCATCACACCATTTTTGATTATTTACCGGGCTTTCTTGAAAAAATAAGCCCCAAATCCATCTATACCAGGTGACTTATCATTACCAATGCCTTTGAGAGTTGTGATAACTTTCTCTTCTGTAACAGTAGTGATTAACAGTTCTCGCTGATCATTATTTAATTGTGCCCTTGCTCTCATTGCATTTGTATCAATGCCTTCAAGGTCAGTTGAATCTTCCCCCGTCACTTTTTTGTAGAATTCTACAACTTCTTTTTCCAACTCCATTTGGTCACTTATACAGGATCCATCTGCCCGATGAATGTTCTCAACTAGCCGACTAATATAAAGACGCTGAATCGAAGTCAAAGGTTGAGGAAGTGCACTTTTACCATCTCTTCTTCTCTTTCCCAGTGCCGATTTCAAATCTACACCACAAAATTTATAAAATTTACATGCATTTCAAAAAAATATAAACAATTTCTGATACTAAAATACACGAAAATACCGTCTTCTTCGAGGTCACTGCCGGAATCGTTGGGGTCATCGGAGACAGAAGGAGGAGCTCGAAGAGAATCGGTGAGGGAGTTAGGGTCATTGACGATGCCGAAGGAATTGTAGTTTTGTGTGACGCTGCCTTTTTCATCCCATTTAGGGTCTTCTACAAGGGATTGTAACAGTTTGGAAGGAATGGTGAAAGCGGGTTTCAAAACTTTAGGGTTCTTCTTTGGAAGACCCACACGAACCTTAGGTCGAGAAATCTTGTATTTTCTTCGTGAGTAGAAAAAGTGAATGCAGGAGTAGAAAGTGAATTGATGTTTTATGTATTTTAAGAGCTTTTTAACTTTTTTTACGGCGACGGGTGTTTTACCGTCGTGCCCATGAGAATTTTTAAAGGTTTTGGGTGCGACGGTTGTTTTACCGTCGTGAAATGAATTTTAGGACGGATAATTTTACCGTCGTGAAAGGTTTAAGGGTGCGACGGGTGCTTTACCGTCGTGATATGCCTTTTAGGACGGTTAATTTTACCGTCGTGACTAGTTGTTGGTGAAAAATCAATGTTAAAAGTGTTAAATGGGGGCCGACGGTTGTTTTACCGTTGTAATAATAATATTATGATGGTTAATTATACCATCGCAAAATAAATATTAGGGACGGTTGGTGTCAACTGTCGTAAACACTGTCTCTATATGTCAATTACGATAGTTATCACATAACTGTCGCAATTTTTGTGTCGTTAAACACTAATTTTCTTGTAGTGACTTCACCAAATGGGTGGAAGCTGCTTCATATGCTAATGTTACTAAGCAGGTGGTTGTGCGCTTCATTAAGAACAATCTCATATGTCGGTATGGTGTGCCGATCAGAATTATCACCCACAATGGCTCAAATCTGAACAACAAGATGATGACAGAACTTTGTGAAGAATTCAAGATTGTCCATCACAATTCATCTCTGTACAAGCCGAAGATGAATGGGGCTGTTGAAGCTACTAATAAAAATATCAAGAAGATCATCTAGAAGATGGTTGTTACTTATAAAGATTAGCATGAGATGCTCCCTTTTGCTTTACATGGGTATCAGACATCTATCCGCACTTCAACAGGAGAAACCCCGTTCTCCCTTGTGTATGGAATGGAAGGAGTGTTCCAAATCAAGGTTGAGATTCCCTCTTTGTGTGTGATAACCGAAACCAAGTTGTTAGAGGCTGAATGGGTCCAGAACAGGTTTGACCAATTAAATTTGATCGAAGAGAAGAGAATGACAGCTTTGTGTCATGGGCAGTTATATCAGAAGAGAATGAAGAAAGCTTTTGATAAGAAGGTCAAACCTTGTGAATTCAGAGAAGGCGACCTCGAGCTCAGGAAGATCATGTATTTTAATGCTAATTCTAGGGGCAAGTGGACTCCCAATTTTGAAGGCCCATATGTTGTCAAGAAAGCCTTCACTGGCGGTGCATTAATTCTTGAAACTATGGATGACGATGAGTTCCAACGTCCCATAAATGCTGATGCAATCAAGAAATATTTCGCCTAAAGAAATAACAGAACAGCTTGCTAAGTTGAAAACCCGAAAGGGCGGCTTAGGCAAAAAGGAGCATCTCGGTAGGCCGAAAACCTGAAAGGGCGGCTTAGGCAAAAATTAGAGACATAAATAAAATAAATTTTTTTGCTAAGTTAAAAACCCGCAAGGGCAGCTTAGGCAAAAGTTAGGGACTTTCTTGGCAAGTAACTGCATCAGACCAGACTTGATCATTGAAGCAACAATCTTCTTGGATCCTCACCATACTTCAACGAAAGTTGCTGCTCATAATTTCAAAGTTGTTAGAGGGAATAATGGCCATTGTATCTCAATGTATATTTTCCATTATATATTACCATTTTCCGAACTTTGTAATTATCCGTGGAGTCTCGCCATTCATAGACTACCATTCTATCAATAAAATTTGAGCTTTTATCCAATTCTTTGTATTTCTTATTTTTATTCAGCTTACAAAGACTCCATTTATTATTGATAATAATTTTCAAAGCAAAAAGATTAAATAACAAAATTAATTTTCAAAAAGAATTTACAACTTACTTTTACTTTAGATTTTGTGATTCAAGAGGAAAACAAAAGTGGTGATCCCAGGAATGGACGAACTCCCGTCATTTGGGAAGTTTTGTTTCTCCTAGGAAGGTTTTCTCAGGTCGTTTTCGCTGGTGTGATCGGTGGGAATGAGAACTGACTGTTTTGGAATGCTGGTTCGCGTTTGCGTTTGTTTTTGCAAAATGTCGCGGTAAGCTAGAGTCGCCACCGTCTTTTATTTTATCCAACAAGGAAAGGACAAAAGCATAGAAAAATTCCTTTTTGAGATGTTTCTCGGGTTCGGGAGGTAGATTATAGAAAGGGAAGGTGTTAGCACCCTTTCTATCCGTGGTTATCCACGGGCTCTTAGGTACTTGCTCACTATGTTTTCAAAAGTTTGCTTTTCTTTGTGTTTGTGGGTTTTGAAAAGAGTTTTGTTTTTGAAGAGAGTGTAAGTGCGAAAAGTTTTGTTTTGTTTTAAAAGGAGCAAGTACTTAAGAACATCTACCTACTCAAAAAGGAATTAAACTGTGCTAATGTCCTTTAGACAATGCTATCCCACTATTGAGGAGTAGGTAGCATCGTCGTTGGAGTTTTCGAGTCAATTCGATTAAGGGACGTGTGGTCACTAAAGCAATGTTAGGACGCCTTAGTGGTAACCCTAATGTCTTAGATCATTTTATCCGAGGCAACCGTTTCAAGGCAACTTATGATCTTTGGACAAGAGGAAGACCTCTAAAACATCCTACACTTAATGACCACGTTCGAGGCAACCAAGTGAGGCGTACCCTAAGAGTGGCATGTGCGAGTGTGTCAATTTTCAGTTTATATTATCTTTGTACATGTCATGGTGAGCTACGGTTGATTTTAAATTAAAGGTTAATCTTGTCATGCATAGCCTATTATTCAAACATCTAGTAGTTAATGGTTGCGGAAAATAAATTGCGGAAAATAAAACTAAGCTATTACAAGGCGTCGGGGAGGGGGATTATTTACATGTCCAAAATTGGGGGAATAAAGCAGTAAAGTGTAAAAGTCTTAGTTAAGCTATTACAAACCAGTAGGCAATTACAATAAAATAAACGCGCGCGAATCTAAAAATAACCTCTAAAAATCCTAAGAATAAAATCTTTTTGTTGTTTTATTTTATTTTGGGAAAATGATCTAAATCTTCTTAATTTTAGTTTTGAGAAAATGTTAAGATAATTAAATGATTAATTAACAAAGTTAATTTAATAGAAAAAACTAGCCTAATTTTTTTGTGGTTTTCTTTTAATTGATTTTATGTTGATTAAAAAAAAGAAATAAAATAGTCAAAACAAAGATGAAATCGAAGGAACAGGCAGTAAATCAAGAAAGGTATAATTCTTGAGGCCTGGATCGAAAGAGGTGTGGGCTGTCTTTCGATCCAGTGAAGAGGCTTGATCGAAGGTGCCTGAGGGGCTGCACTTTGGGGGTGTTCGATCTGGATATGTCATCCTTCGATTTGGGAACCCTGGATCCAGTTCGAAGCTAAGCTGCTAAGCTTCGAAGCTTTGAACAAAATTCTGAGAAGATATTTCTTGCAAAACGAAACAAATATTAAAGATCCAGGGGGGACTTTACCCCCCTGATTCGAATATCCTCCCAATTCGAGTCCTTCCTTAATTTGAACCTGTTGAATCTGGGTCTGGGTTTGTTTTATCCTGAGATTCGAAGGAGAAACTTAGATCGTGCCCAAGCAATGGCACAATCTCTTCTTTGCGCTTTAGCTTACATGCAACATAATCAGTAATAACAAGAATACATATGCAATGTGTATTTAAATGTCATGAAGGTGCAATTTTGGTTTTGCAAACCCTTACCAATTAAAGATGTATGATTTGTGGCTCTGGGTGTGGAGATGTTTGCTGAACGTTTGCTTTGGCTTGGATTACTTATGAAAATGCTGATAACCTTTGGTGGGTTTGTGGGCAGCGTATCTCCAAATCCTCCCTGTTTCTTTTTCTCCTTTTTCCATTCTGTTTCTCCTTTTGTTCCCCTGTAATGTGTCACTGGCCTCGTTTTTATAGGAGTATCATGGTCTAGTAACGGCAAGAGACAGCCAATTAAACAAGCCTTTAAAGCCATGAGACAAGAATTAGACATATTAAAAGATTTCCTTTTTTGAAATATTCATGTCTCTTTGGAATCTTGAATGAACCTGGACACTTTTGATTTTCGAATTCCTTCAGGCCCTACTCTTTGATTGGTCTTGATTTACCTCCTTCGAATGGATTTCTTATGTACCCTTCGAATGGGCCTTCTTTGCCAGTTTCAAAGTCCAATTCGAATCTATTTAGAACATTCCCTATTAGACAACTTCGACCAACCCTTGGCCTTGTGATGAGTCTAAGTTCTGATTCGAAGTGTTCAGAACTTCCTTCATCAGAGCATCTTAGATTAAGAGAAACTCTGCACTGAAATGCCATTCGAAGGTCATTTCGTTCTGATGTTCTTATTAAGGGAAACTCTGAAGTTCCAGTCGAAGGACACTCTGAAGTTCCAGTCCAAGGACCTTTTGAAATGACAATTGAAGGGTATTTGTCCATATACTAATCAAAGGGTACTTGTTAAAATTCCAATCGAAAGGCTTTGTTAACAGGCCAATCGAAAGGTGCTGTTCATGCTAATCGAAGGACATGGTTAACATGCATGTCGAAGCTGCCTTGACACAATGCTAAATCGAAGGATCCCTTGGCATGCCAATTGAAAGGCTTGGCCCAGGGTGCCAAACGAAAAGGTCTTTCAGAATTCCAATCGAAGGCCTTGACACAATGCCAATCAAAGTGTTTGTCCATAATGCCAATCGAAGGGAATTATCCATGCCAATCGAAAGGCTCCTTCAGAATATCAATCGAAGGGTCTTTCAGACTGCCAATCGAAAGGTACTTAAAGCACCACTCAAAAATTTTCTTTTTCCTTAGGCAAGGGTTTCTGGTCAACCATGCAGGGGGAAGACTTTGGAAAACATGAGAGGGCAAATTTTGGGGTGCAACAGTTGCCCCTGTTCAATTTTCTTAAACTTGAGGATATAGATTGGCTTTCGAGCCTTTCTTGATCCGAAGGTGGAAGATAATTGAACACTAGAGTGCCCAGAAATTTGCACTCGCATGGTGTAGTATCAGCCTTGTGACGTCGGGAATGGGCTTACAGATTCCATTTGGAGATTGTTGGTAGGAGGATGGGCTTATAGATGCCATCTGCAGGAGTGTCGATCGCATAAGAGATTCCTTAGCGAGAACTTGCATACCTGTTGTTTGTAGAAGATTCCGCTGGGGAATTCTAACTTTTGTT